TATATATATATATAGAGCAATTTTGATAATCATTGTTAAGTGAGGTGTATTTTTTTTTTACTGTTCTAAAGTGATTTTTTTTTCAAGTATCAAATATATTGCTATGACAGTTTTATTGAAAACAGTATTGCTGCACAGGGGAAGAATGATCATTTATCCAGAAATAACTGCAACTCAGTTATTTTTCAACAGTGCAAATTAAACAGCTTATTTAGTTCAGCTACTTCTAAGCAGCTTATCTGCGGCACTTGCTTAGCAGCAACTTATTAATAAGTTACAAACAGACCCTTAGTTACATCCGGAGAGATGTGCTTGTAAACAGACCCTTAGTTAAATCCGGAAAAATGTGCTTGTACTAGATCTAATCTAAATTTAGTATTCAAATGTGTTTTAGTGTCTCTCTAGTTAGATTTTCATTTATATGATAGAATAAATACGTATGGTCTGGACAAAAAATTTTTAGTTTTCATCAAATTAGTGATACCTTCAGCTTGCATTTGCAAATGCTATGATTGCTACTTCCATTAGCCTTCTGCGAAGACTCTTTTTTATTACATAATAATCTTCATTGACTTGCTAATCCCAAATAGTTGGGATGAGGATGATCATAGATTATTAAATTTTGTTAACTTAATTATTTCTTTATTTCACTTTTTACTTTTAAACTAAGTTACGAAGTGCTCGTTTTTAAATTAAGCATGAATTATTTTAGTCTGTATTGCTTTGTTTAGGTTTATTTTAACAGTTTTTCTTCTTTTCTGTTTTCAGGATTTAGCCTTTGATCTGTCCCTTTCGGCTTTGTTGGGGGATAACGTCTATAATTTTGGTGAATTGCTAGCTCATCCTATTGTAAGTTTGATTTAAGTATTTTAATCATAATCTCTTTATTTATGATCTGATCCTAATCTGAATTTAAACTAGTCAAGTTTTTTGTTCATAAAATTGTTGATTAAGTGGACATAACTTGAATGTTTCAGTGCTAGATAATCCATTGCGTTGGTTCATTTACATAGCGTGTTTTTTGTGATTCTTGGTAACTTTGAAGTAAGGAGAAGATATTGGACATTAAGGGTCTGTTTGGGGCAGCTGTTGATTATTTATAATCTGTCAATAAGCAGATTATTTTGATAATCTGATAATCTGCAGATTATCTGAATAAGTTGGCTTGTTGTTTGAGGCAGCTTATTCAGAACAGCTTACTGGGAGCTGTTGTTGAATAAATGACAATTCTACCCCTATTTGGTTAAGCAGTTTGCAACAAAACTGAAATTAGAACAAAAATATATAATACAAAGTTCAGAAATCGTCACAGATCAGTTCGAAAGATAACATACAATAGTTGTAAAGAGAAATAAGTAAGGAAGACATGAAACATACTACAAACACCTAAAACAACAGTTTCAAGTTTATCTAGATTATTAGTTCCCTGTACTTTCATGGATCAATGCTTTGCTTAAGGAAGAGTTCAGTGTTAAAAACAAAGCAAAGCATTTCTCTATATATATATATATATCTGGCTTGTTGAAGTATATTTCTGATGTCATTCTCTCTGGTAAAAAAACAGTTTCAATGAAACAATTCGTTAAAATGGATGGGAAGGAATACTAGCAGCTACAAGGAAATAAACAGAAACAGTACTAATGTCGAAGCAAGGCATGAAGGGTCATCAGGTGAAAGGAATCAGGTATACCTTGGGAAAGGATTGCAGGTGAAAGGATCCCAGGGAAATGAATGAACTTCAAGGATCCCAGGGGAAAGGAATCAGGGAAAGGAAACGAATGAACTTCAAGGATCCCAAAGGAAAGGAATCAGAAAGTCTAATAGAAATGCTAGGCTCGCGTGAAGGAAGGATGGATATCGGATATACCTTGCGCCAATTCTGGAAGGGTGAACCGAGGGAGCAGAGGAGAGGAGCGGAGGAGATCAATTCTCCTCGAAAGGGCGAGCCGAGGGAGATCTGCGAGGCGAGGCGAGGCGAGGGATTTGCGATGCTCCCTGCGAAGGAGCGGAGGAGATCGAGGGAGATCTGCAATTCTCCTTTCCGCGAGCCAAGCGAGGCGGCGATTCTCCCAATCGAGGGAGATCTGTGACGATTCTTCTAGGGCGAGTCGAGGGATCTCCGAGGCAAGGCTGAAGAGGGGGCGCGACGATTCTCCAAGGGAGGGCGAGGGAGATATGCGGGGCAGAAATTTTTTCCCTAACGCAAAACTCATACGCGGAACGCAGGGGATATCCTGCTTGCGAAGATAGAAAGAAAATTGCGATCAAAATACGCAGCGGCACCAAAAATCCAGAGCCATCACGATATTTAAACAGTAATGCGGCGTTCGGAAAACGCTGTCGCACTCTATAAGCTGCCCCAAACGGGCCCTAAGTATGGAGTACTTCTGGAAAGAAATTAAAATAGCGGGTAAGAGTTTGAACTGCAGCTCAGAGAAACATAGAAGCAGAAACCGGAATAAGTAGAGAAGTCCAAATGGGTCGAAAAGAGTAAATGATCGAAATAGTCCCGACTTTTTAGATGCATTTAGTTTAGTATTAGAATTCTTGTCAGGTGCTTAATTTAGTCACTCAATTTAATAAATCTAAACCAATTTGATTCTATGATAATATTTATTGTTTCTTTGGACAAGAATTGATAAAAGTTTTTTTTTAGAGTATTTTAGGCTTTTTTAGGTCATCTCACAGCTTAATACCAACTCAAATTAATAATATTACTCTCTTGGAAAGTTTCCCTCCAATAATTTCGTTCATAAAAACAGAAATGAAGGGAATATTTTTTAGTGATCCGATAGTGAACCACGATGCATGATAGGTTGGAAACGAGGATAAAAAATACCGAACAAAACTTGCGGGATAGGAACACGAGCGTTGAAAGATGTTAGATCCTACTTTTTAACAGCAAGCTGATAAGGACATAGTTAAAAGGTAGTAAATTTGAAGCATGCGGTGGAGTTTAGAAAGATAGGGACATAGATTTGATATAGGCTATAAATCTGGTGATAGACGAGCGTATGGGTGATGATGAAGAAGATGAAATGGATAATAGCAAAGATTATAGATTATTTTAAGCTATATATATTATAAACTATAGTAGTTTAACTAAACTACTATAGTTGAGCCATTTAAACATGTGTTTAGGGCAGTCATTTTAGATCATCTATTTAGCAAGTATTTGAATCTTGGAATGCCGCAAAACTTGAAGACTTAACCTAGTTTTTGTAACGGAAGTCTCTTTTTAATATTAAAAAAGAATTTATTATCATTGGAGTAGCTATTTTTTATCCTTCAAAGCCTTCACTTGGGCAAGCACGGCCTAGGCTTTTCAAGTGTTTAAGAGCCATAATTGCGCCAGATATAAACAGTTTTAAAACTCTGGAGATTTCTCTTTTCCTAAGTTGCTTTATACTTCAACTTCAAAGCTCTGTGCTTCGCAACTAGTTGCACAAATATTTATTTTGTTTTCCTCATACTTCTCAGCTTAATTTTTTATTGCAGATCAAAAGCCTTCTTGGGACAAAAGCAGAGTGGATATACCACATATTACAGGCATTTAACACTGGCAATTTAGCTCGCTACCAAGAACTTTGTAAAGTTTACAATTCTGCATTGAATGCACAACCGGCACTGGTAGCCAATGAGGAGAAGCTTTTGGAGAAGATAAACATTCTCTGTTTGATGGAAATCATCTTTAGGTATAATTTTACACGCCATATATTAAATTTATGGAAGATTTACATGCATTCCACTCAATTCCTATGTATTTACATATCTAACCCCTAAACTTCAATTTTTACATCTTACTTTAAGTTTAAAGTGGTATTTTGATGTGATGCAAAATATTTGGGTGGTATAAATGCCAAAAAGTAAAGTTTAGGTGATATGTAGATACATAAAAATTGGGCGTTATTATGCATGTAAATATGCCCATTAAATTATTTTTGGTCTCAAGTTACACAAGCGCTTCTATTGTTAAAGCATATTCCACTAAAATTTTCTTGTCTCCTTATTTGCGCTCTTCAGTCGACCTTCCGAAGACCGGACAATTCCACTGAAAATCATTGCAGATCGGACTAAGCTTGCCATAGAGGATGTTGAGCATCTTCTCATGAAGAGTCTATCAGTAAGTTTGTAATTTTCTTAATTCCTTTCTAACATGCTTCAAATCTATTAAATTATAGGAGTGTAAATAAGTTGAGGTATGAATACGTGTGGGAACATGTATTTATAGAATCAATCTATTATTAAATTGAACTTGGTCTAACAAGTCGTCATTCATGCCCGACTTGTTAAATATACGAGCTTATAAAAATTGCTCGAATGCAAACAAATTACCGAGCAATAAACAGTCGAACACAAAAAGTTATTTTGACAATCATGATTTCTCTTATTCTATATATAGGTTCGCCTCATTGAAGGAATAATAGATGAAGTGGAAGGAAGAGTGCATGTGTCATGGGTACAACCTAGGGTTCTTGGAGTTCCACAGATCCAATCTTTGCGCGACCGGCTTGATAATTGGGTCAGCAAGGTGAGAACCGCTTTGATATCCGTGGAATCCGAGCTGCCGGATCTTGTGGCTTTTTCATGAGACCCAAATCTGATAAGTAAGAGCTATGAGTATTCCATCATTATTTCTTCCATGCAAGAAATGATGTTATGATTGGAAGGAGAGCAGAAAATGGAAAGAGATGCTACTCTATTTATTCAAGGTGGGATGGGATCAGCTCTCCAAAGTTCATTTAATAAGAGTTAAAACTAGAAACATGCATACACAGAGAGAGAGAGAGAGAGAGAGCAGAGGGAATATTATTCCTTTTACTTTTTTATTTATTGTCAGTTCTGTTGACTATTTTTCTGTGATCGGAATTTTATTTATTTTTGTTTTTTTTTTAACTTGGAATATCAACTGTCGCTTTTTATTTTTTTTACTTTATTGACCTTTTTTTTAATTTTTAGAAATATAAATTATGCTAAGATTGGATTGGCAAAAATATGTTGGTATCCACCTTAGCATAATTTTGCCAATCATATTATGCTAATCCACTTTATTACATATCATATTATGTAATAAAGATTAGACCTTTCATGCATAGGTAAGGTGGTATGTATGTAAAAATTGATGTTTAGGTGTTAAATATGTAAATACGTAAGAGTTGAGTAGTACGTATGATAATCATCTCAAAGATTAATATTTTGCTCAGTAAGCAGAGTACCAACACAAGATGAGAATCCACCTTCAGCGAAATGTTCGGGGCAAGAGTAAAAAAGGGAATTGACATGCATAGCACACAAGTCTTATGTATTTTACATTTCTCGCACCTAAACTTTCATATTTACATACGTAACACCAATGCATGGAATAATGTATTTCAATTTTAAAAAGTGGTGACCGTGCTTTCATGTGATCTTGAGGATTTGAGTGTTGTGTGTGTAAATATGAATATTTAGGTGTAATATATAAATATATATATAAATTGTATGTTATTTATGTAATACATAAAGATCCTAAACAGGTAAGATGACATTTGCATACATACCATTCAATTCCGGTGTATTTACATGTCCGACTCCCAAACTTCAAATTTTACCTACGCATGAGAAGTTTAATTTCACTTTTTAGAAGTTAAAATGGGTACTTTTTATGTGATATGAAATATTTGGGTAGTATAAATGTAAAAAGTAAAGTTCATATGTTAGATATGTAAATACTAAAATTATCACTGGTAGTTTTGAAGCAACCAAGTATGGTCAATATTATCAAATTAACTTGAATGGCATAACCTAGCCATCAAGCATCTTTAATGTTATGAGAGCCGAAAATGAATCAACCTTATATAAAAAGATAAACCAAGTTGCATTAACATTCATTTTTCTTTGCAAAAAGGTTAATAGTACGGTCTTTGAGTTACAACTTGGATGGGGATTGTTAGAGATTGTAGTTTTTTGGGAGGGGGGAAATAGTTATGCTTCAATTTCATAGAATAATTAATAGTGGAGTTAAGCCATATTACAATAGAAATGAAAATATTATTGTTGAATTTCAATAGGGTTACAATGACGACTCTTCAAACAGGAAATAAATGATTACAGACATAAACGACACAATCAAACGCCCCTAAAGCGTGTCCCAAGGGTGGAGGTCAGCAAGGTGGATTGAGATGGTTTGCAGGGGTCGCAACAACAAAAGAATGTTGGTGGTAATGAGGGGAAAGTGTAGAAATGTATGGACAACAAGTATGGAGGTTGTCTTGGGAGAGCGGTGGTGGATAGCGATGGGAAAGCAAGAGGAAAGCGTTCCCTTACTGTACTTCCCTCTTGCTGTCCGAGAGGAGGGAGCGACACAGTGGGAACAACAGGGAGGAGGTGTGGTTTGGGCAACAACAAAGTTGGAAGGAAGTGAGAGGCGTCTGGGAAACGAGGGCGAAAAAATACAGCAAATGGAAGGCTGTTATGGCCGACTGCAGTAATATACAGAGACGGGGAGGAGAATGTGGAAGGAAATAGGAGAAAGATATTCACCACCTCGGGAGAGATACAGTTGAAGCACCACCCAATCTTTCGGATACAACCGTCAAAGGATGGATGTCAGTGGTTGTCCTAACATAAATTTAAAATAAAACTCACCAAAAACTACTTATCCAAACCCCAATACACACATATATAGGGAAGGAATAAAAAAGAACAAAATCTAATAGAAAAGAAAGAATAAGAAAGGAAAAATGAGATTGTTTCGGCAGCTCAACTCCCATCTCTTGCTATATGTTCTCTCGCGGTACTGTAGTAGCTACAGCACCGTGAGAAAATTGTTTGGAAAAAAGCTTCTGCATCAATTTTTCAGGGTTGTGATAGCTTCAACTTCATTTATCGAAGCTTCAGGCTCCTCATTGCACGGATTCAAGTCTCTCAAGTTGAAGGTAATGGAGATATTGTAATCCCATGGTAGGTCGATCAAGTATGTGTTGTCGTCCCAAAGCACATTCTGGTAGAATAGATATTCATCCTCTTTTGGAATAACCTGAGCTGACACTATAGATAGATGAGTAGTCTCACAAAGCAGTTATAGAGAAGTGAGAGGTGATTGGGAACGATAGCGACAAAATATAGCAAATGGAAGGTTGCTATGGCCGGCTGAAGTAATATACAGAAACGTGGAGCAGCGGTGGAGAATGTGAAAGGAGATAGGAGAAAGATATTCACCACCACGGGAGAGATACAGTCGGAGCACCACCCATTTTTTCGGATACAACACTTGAAGGATGGATGTCGGTGGTTGTCCTGACATAAATTTAATATAAAACTCACCAAAAACTACTTATCAAACCCTAATACACACATATATAAGGAAGGAATAAAAAAGAACAAAGGATAATAGAAAAGAAAGAATAAGAAAGGAAAAATGAGCTTGTTTTAGCGGCTCAACTCCCGTATCTTGCAATATGTTTTCTCGTGGTACTGTAGCAGCTACAGTACCGTGAAAAACTTTGTGGAAAAAAAACTGTTGCATCAATTTTTCGATGTTGGGGTAGCTTCAACTTCATTTATTGAAGCTTCAGGCTCTTCATTGCACAGGGTCAAGTCTCTCAAGTTGAAGGTAGTGGAGATATGTAGTCCTTTGGTAGGTTGATTAAGTATGTGTTGTCGTCTCAAAGCACATTCTGGTAGAATAAAAATTCATTCACTTTTGTAATAACCTGAGCTGACACTGTAGATAGACGAGTAGTCTCACAAAATAGTTATAGAGCCATCATATTTGAAAAATGCTTCTTTGACTCCTCGTACTCAGCAAAATATAGTTGATAAACCAGTATGTTAAGAGAAATTAACTTTGGGGTGAAATCTATGGTAGTCTGCACCACACTGACGTATAACCACTCAAGAGATGCCTCCTCTTCTTCTTCTTTTCTGAAGAGATCTGGATCCCATTGTAGGATATTTCTTCCTACAATGTTCCTAAAAAGATTTCCAGCATTGTGGTTCATCCATCTCACCTGATCAACTTTCAGTGGGTATACTGCTAAACTAAATTTAACATCCCAATGACTCCCTATGGGCTTCTAGAAGTGACACAAAAAAGTCTCATCTCAGACGTACTGAACCTCCCTCAATATGGGAAACTCAATAAGAAGTCAATATATCTGAAAAGTCTAAATTTCACTTATCTAAGGTTGTTAGGTGTTTGGTGTCAGTTCTTCGGAATTAGGACCATTTTAACCATTAATGTAAATTATGTTGGAGTCTCTCTTGGGCCCTCGACTGAAGCTCCGTGTTTTTCTTCCTCATCCGTTGGAATATGATCATTCCCTTTTGTGCTCTTACCTTCTTCAATGTCAACTATGTTATTGCCTCTTTTTTCAACAACGCTCTCCTCAGTGAAACAGATCACCCCTCTGGTTGCCTAAATCCATAACACTTAAAACACCTCCTTGCTGGAACTGATTTAGGAATGCAGATTGATGCCCTCTATTTTTTACTCTAAACTATTTTCTCCTCTGGTGGGGTCAAATTGGATGTTCTCCTAGGTGTACTCTGACTGTAAGGTTCTGGTGTTGAACCATTCCTGTAAGATGTGGGCGTTCAGTGATGCGGTATATTCACCTTTGAAACTGGAGTCTGAACATTTGGTCTGTAGTAAGTGGGTAGGAACTACTCTTGCATCTCTTGTCAAGTAGTGTTCTTGTCTTTTCCTTCACAAAGGCTTAAGTACTTCAAATTTTCCCGCCAAAAATAATATACTTTTCTTTAGTTCATTGGCGGCTAGTTTCACCATCCCGTCTGAGGAGACATCCTGATAGTTAAAGACATAATATAAGGTCCAAAGCCATTTGATGATCTCATATGGATCCATGCGACTGGAAAAAATTGGCAAATCCATCTTTACTTCCCAATTCTCGCTTTTCAGGCATTCCAAATCAAATCTTCGAGGCAGAGGCTCTTTATTCCTTGAATCAGAATGGTGGAAGGGATTCACTCCATGCCTTCAATCTAGAAAGTCACTGTTATGGCTACGGCTTAAAGGTGACTCACCTGGATTGCCTCCTCTCAAAAGTTGTAAACCTCTGTTGCCGTTGGCTAGTTTCCCACTGCATATCTTCTATAAAAATCTCTTGAGCCCCTTTTTGTTAGTTCCTCATAAACAACATCGTGTCATTTCCCCTCAATGGGACTTCCAATTATTGACTCCTTGGTATCATGACACTGTTTAGGGTTGGGAGGTGATAGAGGGTGTAAAAAATGATTTAGGGTTGTTGATTTTGAGAAATTAATGCTAAGTCAAATATTTGTTTGGTATGGAAATTTGAATGAAAATTTTTTGTGTCGGCATGCATAGATATTTATCATGCCCAATTTACAAGAACCTCAAAATTAGGCTTGAACAGTCCTTTGGTGAAGATATATAACATTTGTCAAACAGTGAGAATAAATGACATGCAAATAGCTCCACAATAAGCCTTCTCTTTTATGAAGTGTATGTCAATCTCCGCATGATTTGTGTGATCATGTTACACAGGATTTTCTACATTGCTTACGGTTGCTTTATTCTCATAGTATTACTTCTTTGACATGCTAATTGGGATTTGCAACCCTTCAAGAATTCTTTTCAACCATAACATCTCACAACTTCATTAGCCATGGCCCTATATTCTACCTCAGCACTACTCCTTGCAACCACATTTTATTTCTTACTTCTCCATGTAACTAAGTTTCCCTACACATTGGTGCAATATCCAGAAGTTGATTTCCTGCTAATAATTAAACATGTCTAATTTGCATCAATGCACATCTCTATGTTATTTTTTGTGGTCTTCTGAAAGACTATGTCATTACCTGATGCACTTTTTAGATAACTGAGAACTTTGTTCACTGCTTCAAGGTGTTCTCATAGGGT